TATATATAGAAAGTAGTTAATATTATATATATATATAATTCAGAAAAACACTAACTTTTCCAGAATATATTCTCAATTGCGAGTCATTCACCATCGCTTGTAGTGGCACCGTAACATCAACGAAACGATCCCCTAAAAGCGGATATGACATTGCACGACTTCCTTCTCCTATCATTTGTCCATACTTTGCTTCAATAATAACTAAACCATGCTTCTGTTCTTCGTCTTTGGCTATTCTTTCTGCCGTTCTTTTCATTAAATTTACAATATTGTTTGCTTCTTCACGTTTAACGACGTCTACCTAAAAGTCATTACATTCTCAATTACTACACATATGTTTCATGCTACAATTTAGAAATAGCCCGAAATTTTTAAAAGTAACAACATGAAAAGCAGCCTTATGAAAAACTATCAATTTTATCTATGAGAGACTACAATACCTGTCGCTCTTCAGAATTATCTTCAAATAATGACATGAAACGCTCATATGTCTGCCGAAAAACTCCTTTCAGCACGAAGAAAGCTGCGATTGGAAGAATAATACCATATAATGTTGAACGTGCAATATCTTCTTCGTTGTCACATAACAAAAATTGACATTCATAGACCGAGGTACCCGTCTTCAACCTTTATTTAATTTAAGAATAAAAACAAAAAAAAACATCAGAAAATACAGAACTCAGAAAGCTTTCAAACCGAGTAATTCTTACTTGAATTTAGTATGCAAAAGACAAGATGGCAAAGCTAGTGATACGCTACACCCAATTCGAGAATATCTCGATAAGCGTCTTTCAAATGCAATCGATGGCATGATACCGACGAAAGAAAATATACATGAAGTTTCCATGAATGAATCTTGTTCTGCATTCCGCCTGACATACATCATTCGAATATTCGAATTGGTAAGCGATATCTGCAAATACATATGAATCAGAGTCTTATGATACGTTCTTTTCAATTCATTCATTTTTAATAAAACTGTAACTTATACAATACTAAAATTAAAAAAATAAAACACATGGTGATATTAAAATAAGAAAAAAAGCAGACACAGACCGTCAAATTAATAAGAAATTTTGGCATGTTGAATTCACTGTGAATCAATGAAGTGGTTAAAGAAGATTGCATTCCCCAATGATACATAATAGACCCTTGCCAACGAGGATGCAGATTTCTAGAGAGAACTGAAAATAAATTAATCATGGCTACTCCCTTTGTGCACTTCATAATGAACCAAATTTATCTGAAACAACATAAAAGCTAAACTTTTAAAAATGAAACTATGATAAATTAGTTAACTTACCAAACATACAACCCGGATTAATAGCTGAGTACAGTGGAAAATATTGTATTGTAGGCTGCACCACAATAGCATTTTTCAAAAATAAACTTTTAGCAAATTTACATCCCAATGCAATTGAATCAGGTGTAAAATTTGTACTGAACTGAAAATAACTGGAATACTAGACAACTCACTTACATATTACATATTATAGATAAAATGATAATATGATACAAATTACCTCAACTAAACAAGATGACGATACAAGTCTTTTCCAAATCAAAACAAATGATCCATCACCTTTGCCGTTACTCATCTTGACACGACCACTTAAACCCACTCTGTCTCTAGTTGCCATAGCACATTCAACATTCTGAGATATAGATAAGCCAGTAACTTGCGGAGGCGATCTGAAATCGGTACTCAAGTAATTTATTTTCCTTACAGTTTACAGCCTTACTACACTAAATGAAAACTGAGAATATGAATAATAAGTACCTCAATTCAGGATCTGCAGCAAACATACCAGTTAAAGAACATTTGCATGAAAACGATCCCTGAAAAGATTAACTGAAAACTGAAACTAACTAATGAATAGTAATAAATTTATACGTTCAGGTTTATTATTCCACAAAAATCGAAATAATTAAAAGATTATAATACAAAGAAAAATAACAGTATACTAACCGAAGGATGAATCCTTTGCAACATAATTTCTGTATCCTTCAGGCGCTTAAGAAACTCATATTCTCGTCTAATATTTTCTGGCTTATCTGACTTAGAAATAAGTTCCCAGCCATGCAGTTCAATTCCCTGCAGTCCAACCGTATCATAAATTGCTCGTAGCTTGGGGTCGGAAAGTGCTAAAAATATATAGACAAAATGATAATGAAATATAAACAGATCATGTCATATGCTTCTTTCACTTAGTATGAAAAAAAAGAAACGTAGATTAGGCTTTTGACTTTCAAGCAATAAAGGTTCAAAATGAATTACTCTCGTATGCCCTGCGCAATTTTAGGAAGAATTTTTCCGCATTCCCTTTTTCTTTAGGATCACTATGTCGATCGGGATGAAATATCAAGCAACGCTGTCGATAAGACTTATTAATCTCATCTATAGTTGCCTAAAACTCGAGCACTTTCCTTACATTATATTATGGAATGTACGATTAGACTCACAAATTTGGTTATCATTTCCCACTGTATGCTGCTAAAAATTTCACTAAAACAATCTCGAATCATTTCATGTGTATACTCATAAATAATATAAGTATATAACACAAATAGCACACTTTAAACTCTAAAAGATCTAAACTGAACATGTCAATTTTGAGATCCATCACGTTTTATAAGAAACTTCATCAAAATATAAAGTGCTACATCACAAGCCATTACCTCCTTCGGGACATTAAGAATAGCATAAAGATCGAGATCATCTTCATCTTGATTTTCAAGTCCATCTGCATTACCATAAACTGATGTCGTAGAAGAAGCTTCTGACATGTTTATCTTCGTTATGTGAATGTTTAACTACCACTTGATAAACCTCTGAAATGCATACTAAAACTACTTTTAGCATCACCAAGTTATTTTTGACGCAACCAAAATGATGTCGCCTTATTATGAAGAATTTGAAAATCACTACAAAAATGAGACGACTTTTTTTCACTGCATAACACAATCATATTTGATGTCGAATAAAATACTTCCAATCATTCACTTTGTTAATTGAAAGACCAGAGACGAAGATATGTCAAAACAGTTGAAGGCATAATTGCTTTGCAATAAGAACAATACATTATATCTTACATCTCTCTTGACATCTTTGCCATAGAAAGGAACTATATGCTACTAAAAAAACGAACAATTAATCACTGCCAAAATAGTTCTCTTTCGTATGTAATTAAAATACATGCCTACTGATCTATTAAAATGATTTTCAGTTATTAATAATAATGAGCTGTGAGCTAAGCAAAAGTAAACTAAGAGGTTACAAGGAAAAGTGGTCTGAAATATTCCAAATATGTAATAAAAGTATTCAATCTCTAAGTTAAGATTTTCCAAGTCAATTATTTTGTAAGTATAATACAAACTAATATAAAATAATTCAAAGATCAAGTCCATAATATCTCGGTGAAATTTTCAAAGTGAAACTCAGTCCAAATTTGTGAAACTTAACATGCAAGAATGGAGCAGGCTAAGCAAAAAATGAATGACATTAAGTAACTGTTTGAGATTAAATATTTTCATAACGATTTCATCATTAGAATATATGTCTACTATTTAAAAGATTTATTGATAGCAAAAATTACAGTAGTATACTGTGATAGTTTGATTATTGGTAGAAGCGCATTATGTAATTAAGGAAATGTTTGTATACGGTAAGTGAAAAGTGTAACAAAATTGCACATGCATATGTGACAATTTACAAATATCTGAAATTAAAATATGCAATAAATTAATGGTGTGACTATTATGGTTCTATGCCTATCAATATTTCACTTTCTTCACTTTATTTCCTAAGTAATTTTTGTATTACTTACGCAGTTAATTGGATAGGAGTGTAAAAGCATTTAGTACTATATCTTTTGAAAATATTTAGCAGTAAAAATCAGAGAATAATCAGAAATGTTTCGGACAAATTGCGCATTTAATGACGTTTATTGTGCTTGTTATCAAAGCATTTCAGTAAGCATATGTGATTGCATTTCAAATTATAGTATTTACTTGAGGTCATGAAATAAGCCACATATTTCAGGCAAAATTTTTCATTTTTCTTGTATTCTTTACTCTTTATACAACGTAAATGTCATACATTAGTTTGCATAATAGTTGTTATTTTTATTTCCTTCCTATATTGCAGCTAGCGAGCTTGATATTTTTTCTTTTCTAGATCTAAACTACAAATTTTAGGAGGAAATGAATTGTTGTAGAGCCATAAAACAGTTTACAATATCAAATACTGTTTGGAGGATGTGGACCGTGAATTATTCGGTTTGTAGAAGACAAGAATTCAAGAAACAAAGCATCACTATTATTGTTATCATTATCTAATATTATATTACGTCTAGGAACAAATCGTGACTACTATTGTTATTATTATTTAATATTATATTACGTCTATGTATTACGTCTAGAAACAACAACTGGAATAAATTCATGTTCAAAATTTATTCTCATTGCCACATACACAAAGATAAGACACAAAATCATTTTACTTAAAAATTACTTTCATAGGATAGGGTCAGTAGAATATTAATCTATGTTGACATTAAAATGTTAGTAGATTTCTTCAAGGTGTTAGTGTTAACTGGTTGCTTCCAGAGTCATACCTTGGCGATCCGACATATGTATGCAACCAAATTATTATTATCTTTGTTTAGTTGAATCTAAAAAAATAATGAAATGTAAAATTGATGTGAGTTTAATTTTAGGACAATAATAAATATTAAAATTATTTTTTCCAGTGTAAAATTTTGACAATTTTAAGCCAAAAAGCATTAATTTAAGAAAATCACCACTAAAATTTGTATTTTTGTAGTCGACTTGTGGGAGTATTTCTGTGCAGTTAGTATTCCTTCCAACAGTTCTCCTTCGTGATACTTCTCAAAAATATAATTATTAATAAAATTACTTTTTTTTCTAATGAAAAGATAATTTTAATATCAAACATAAAGTAAGTAAACTGACAGTAAAATCAGAATCATACATGTGCACATACCTCCATTATTTGTATTTGTAACTTCAGCTAATATCGTCCGGTTAGCATTACCTGGGCTGTCAGCTGAAAACTTTTTTTTTCAATTTGAATGAAAATTATTGAAGTTGACGTAACACTGAAAATTATTAAATAATATTTTTGTTTTTCATACGTAAGAGGTAAGTATTAATATACGTTCGTCAGAAGTCGTTTCCTCTTCATATCTTTCGTTTATTGCTCCATATACCCAAATGACATCGTCTTCATCTGGGATTTGGAATTCTTCTTCTTCGAGCCTCAATCTATTACCCATGCTTTCTGCCTCATCTACAAATAATCATTCTTCACAATACTTCCAAATGTACACTGTTGACAATATCGCTCGATTGATTCTTGCATCAACTCATGCCCATCTCATGCATCACCATTTTTTACTGAAAAAAGGTAGTGAATTACCTACTCCCAAGAGAGTAAGTGAGTCTCGAAAAGTGGGTGCCATCGGATTCACACCGGGGTCATCTGAATATTTCAAACATTAATGTATAAAAATTTTTATCATAAAATAAAGCATTCGTTTGTATTTGTAATAATGGTTGAGTGCCTTCGGCATTACTGCAATTAATTTTCTATTTGCTTAATTATGAGAGCATTGCAAAATGGATGAGTGGAATGATAAATTTCCGAGAGATTAACCGAAGAAACTATTAAAGTACGAGTTTTCGCGTACGATCGTTGTTCTTATATCGTTTTCTATTTCGGGTGTTTCTAAAAGCACATGGCTTCCTTTGTATTAGTCATCTTCCATTTGTTATATTATATCAAAAATCTTTTCTACTTGAATATGGGCCAGATGAATGCGAAGTTTGACATTGAAGCTATCCATTCGAAGAAAGTTGTGCAAGGAAAACAATTGCAAAACCCAGAAAATCCCAAGACTGACCATCACAGTTTTCATCATCATTGTTCTCCTCACTCATATTCAATAAATGGCCGAAGCCAAAGTTAGCAAGAAAAAAAAATCAGTAAGAATGAGTTTTCTTCTGAAAATCATGCATTTATACCCGTATCTAGGCTGATCTGTAAAGACTAATTTAAACTTCATCAAATTATGCTAATTTTTTGAAGGGGTTTTTATGATTTTCAAAGGTAAAAAAGTAACATTACTCAGAAGTGAAATTCAATTTTGCATTCAAAATAATTTTGAGTTGTATACATATAAAAGTACTAAAATATTAAATAATTCATATAAGCTACTTGTATGAATTTGCATTTTTTGTGATTAGTAAAATAAGTTTAAAAATGTTAAGAAACTAATTGTGAATATTGAAAATTTGGCAAACTGCATCATCTTATAGCAATATTTTTTTTTAAAATTTGTTTTCAAATAACCTGATCAGAATTCTCTTCAATTACTTTATGGGATTTTTTTCTCGTTTTTTTTATTTTTCTGGGATTTTTTTTCTTTTTTTTTGTTTTATTATTTTTGCAGTAAATGATGGAAATAAAATTTTAATAGTATGTTATTCAATAAGTAATAAGTCATCTGAAAACTTACCTCTTACGCAAACTCTGAAACTTTTTTCATACTATTTCTTTTTGCAGTATTATGTAAAATGTATGTGTACACTTTCAGCGGATAAAAAAAGTTACCGCGCACATACATTCGATTATATTCATTAAAAAGAACTTCGTCTATTTTTATAATGCAGTATTTGTGAACGTATAATTTTACAATAAAATTATACTCCAAAAAAGTTTGTATGAATTTTATTATATTCAATTATAATGATTAAATGTATTAAATAGTAAATATTATAATTCATCATATCAAGCAGTTATATATATATGTAGAAATTAAGTAATGAAATAAAATGATTATTTTTGAAATCAGTGTTAGTATGAATTATAAATATGTCCAGAATCAGTGTCAATATGAATCAGAAATATGTCCAGAATCAGTGTTAGTATAGATCAGAAATATGTTCAGAATCAGCGTTAGTATGGATACAAATATATTAAGAATCAGTGTTAGTATGGATCACAAATTTCTCCATCACACACCATCGTGACCCATCTATCAAATGATAAGATTATCGCAATATCGATGCATTTTGCTGTTGACTGTTGACAGACGGGGTTTGCTTACTTTTGTGACTGCTCGCTTTTCTATGCTCAGAATCGGCGATTCTCTTCTGACGAAACTTTTCGCTTACTTGAATCTGAAAATATTCTTCCTAAAAAAGACGCGTATAATGTTTACTTTGCTAAAATCCATGATCGCAACATACATAACTGCACTTGTAACTTTACAAATATATTTCATAAAGCATTTATTTTTTTATTTGCATATGATTTAAAATCTATGGCAATGTGCTAAAGTAAAAAAGTAAACAATTAATGCTATGAGTATAGTCTAATGATAAATAAATAACCTGTTTAATGGCGATATTCATACAAGTTGAAATTTCAATAGATGCCCCCATATTAATATCATTTTTTGAAGTACCCTTATATCCTGGAGCTGAGAATACAGTCAGCATGCAACCACCTGAGAATAATGCATATCCATATAGAGGTGCCTAAAAAATTCTAAATAGTGAAAATTTATTAAAAGATTCATTTGTTAAGATTTACGATCTGAAATGTATTTCTTAATAATCAATTTGTAATTTTTATTTTTAGCTGTCCTGTTCCAGTCATTTTCTTTATGAAAGGAGACTCGCAAAAATCGAAAATCTAAGGTTGAAAAACTTGATTTTCAGAAGTTGCACCTGATGTCCGCGAATCATCATATCGATACCCAGTTTTTTGCAGCAATTCTGTACTGTATCAGGAGCAAACAGTTGACCGATACCATATAATGGTTCTCGCTCCATATTGTTTCGAAAACCATCATGGTTTGGAGTTGTATCTGGATCAGACCATACCAAATCACATTCAAGTGATCCAACCTCAAATTCCTCCAACGGTCGACGGATTTCTCGAATTGCCTGAATTAATTTATCCTTTATTATTAGAACGTCTATCATATTTTTGTTGACTAATTTTGAGTTTATTATGAATTTATCTAATATGCAAATATTGAAGATTTGTAATATTTTTAAGCTAAGCATACTTGAAGTGATGTAAGCTTTGGACCGATCCCTCCATGCATTCCGAGAATTCTGCCTCCGATCAGTACAGCCAATGGTAAGTTATTGAACAAACTTCGGAAATATGTATATAAAGTTCGGCCATCTTTTCCATCTGATAAAATGTTCCACAAATATAAGTGAAAGAAAATAGTTATTGTGGAGGCTTTTTTTTCGTAAATATATGCAATCAGGAACAATTAATTTTAAATATTTTTTCAATTTTCTTGTGAATTTCGACATTGAAAAAATATGCTAATACTGTTAAGAAGTTACCCGGACTTTCAGGAAATCTCACGCGAACTTCATCATGAAAGGAATATGCACGATTCAGAGATTCTTCTTCATGATTACCACGACACAAGTAAATATTTTTGGGAAAACGGATCTTAAAAATGCTTGTTATTACCAATAACAATTTCATAGAATTGAATAAAATGTAATTATGAATGAAGATTTACTTTAAGTGATATAAGCAATGCGATAACTTCGATTCCATGTGATCCACGATCGACATAATCTCCCAAGAATACACTGCGAACTTGGCTTGGCCAACCATTCAAATTGAACCATCGATGCAAATCACTGTACTGTCCATGAATATCGCCATATACTGTACATGGTAATGGAACCTGAAAAATATCTACTTCCTAAGCATTTCAGTTCTATGAATTTTCTGATACTGCTTACGTATAGCTAATTTAATGAGTATTACTTCGAGCAATGTAGGTTCTTCAATAAGGATTCGGGCTCCCTGAAGAAGCATTTCTCGAAGTTCATCAAATTTAAATGGATATTGTCTTGGACCATTTTTTATCAATTTTGTTAGTAAATCACCATCATTGTCTTCCGTAACTAAATATTAGCATTTAGATTCTATTGAAAAAACTGAGAAAGGAATTCACTAGCAAAAATAATATTACATTGAATTTTTGTAACTAATAAACCTGAATTTTATATAGCTTTACTTCATCTATAGAAAAAAATTCCATGACATATAATATTCTTTGCCTGTTCAAGTCATTATTCACCTCACGTTATCACTAAATCTAATATTATTCTGATCAAAATAAAAGGCTAATAAAATGATCAATTTTTATCTAAAAAATTTCGTTGACTGTCCATTATAAAAATGAATTTTATAAATTTATCTGCGTCTGTTCAAATTTCTTTTTTTTGTAAATTTAAATATATCATCAAATGTTTATTATCAATATCTTTTTTTTTTAAATTAAAAATTTGTTACCACCGTCATTTATTGTAGTATTTTCAATGCTAGTTATATCATCTGATGTAGCGTAAGTGATTACACGTGTGATTGTAGGTGGTTTTTTACTTTTTGGCACCACTTTTATGACCTCATTGTGATTAAGTGTACTTAAAAAAATTATTTATTAGACGTTCGAAAATTAATTAAGAATTTTTGAGAGAAAATAATAAGTGGAGTTTTGATATCAAAAAATTCTACAGCTATTGTTTTTGCAACAAATATTAGTTTAAGAAGGCTTAAAAGTTGCAGATACAAGATAAAACTGAATTCAAATTTAAAACAGTACTTAAAGTTCACTTTTACCTCTAAAAAAAAAGCGTATTAATAATTATTTTACAAATTTGCTTACTTAACTAGCATAACTAATTGGCGTAATGTGATTGATCTAAAGCTATTAGTTAAAAATATTTCTATAATCACGTGTGTAAAACTAGAAAAATCAAAAATTTTTACTGTAAATTATTAAAATTTTCAATGTTTTTTCGTGATAGCAGTATAAAATACAAATTTTTAATAGATAGTAAGTAATTTTATAAAATTTAGATTTATTTTTTATATTAAGAATAATTATAAAAATGTAAGGAATTGATTAAAAAAAATGAAATTAAGGTACCGTAAAAGTGTTTTAAGTTCCGTCGAGTTTAGCTGAGGAAGCACTACTGTATCAGTACGATTAGAGTGAATCACGTTGCTGAATGACGTTTCTCCGGGTGTGCAAACCATACCGCCAATTTTATTATCACTTTCTTCTTCTTCAGCAGCAGCAGCTGCTTGTTTTGTAACTACGTCTCCAACATATGCATTCATACTGCATTGATACCATTAATTATATTCTCATTATTTATATTTTTTCATTTAGCAAACATAAAGCAACTGTTTGCTAGAAAAATTTAGAAAGTAATTTCCATTTACTTACTGTTTTTGTAATAAACTTATCATTAAATTTTGAATATGTATCAAAATAAATTCTTTTAGTTTTAATATTTGTTTCTCTTACACATCACGACGTTTTCGTCTTCGACGAGTGATGAGAAGCACTGCAACTGCAATAATACAAGCCATCAAGATAGCCCCGCAAATAATACCACTGATAAGAGTCCAGGAACTTTTGCGCACCTTAATAGCAATATTGTGTTCTTTGTCTTCAATCAGTTCTGGCAATAATTCAATATCTACCGCTGTTCTTTTCATTTCTGCAAATCATTTCATTATTGTTTTAGGCTGAATTCTCTAATTTAAATTACTAATTTAATTTTTGAAATTGATTATTTTTTAGATCTATTTTTTGCTAATTAGTGAGAAAGAATAGATTAATATATGTGAACAAAGCAAACATTTAAAAGTTTGCTTAATTAGTTTTGCACTAATTTAGTCGAATTATTTACAAGTGCTTAATGCAGAAATTTTAGAGAGTTCAATGTAGTTCAATGTAAGAAAGCCAAAAAAAAAAAAACTAATTTGCATTAACACAAATTTATAACTAATTTGCATCGACACAAATTTATAGTACATATTTGCTATTCAGTTGAAAAAATGTGCCAACCTCTGTTAAGCTGCGAATTATTTCCGTGTCTTTCTTGGCGTTTGTTCACATTTTCTGAATTGTTAAAATGCTATTATTAGGCCTTGATATATTTTGAGTTGTACTTAGTAAAGAAACTGACAAAATGATAGTTAAAAAATAAATCATCAATATATGACTTTAAATTGCAATTTTATACAATACAAATTTTTAGCTCGTAAAAATATACTTTATATTTTATAAAAAATTAAAAAATTGGAGGTATCAAATGAAAGAAGAATTAAAAACAAAACTTTTACTTAAGTTATTTGTATTACATCTTGATGTATTACAACAGCAAAAACGCATTTCTTGATCAAGAAAATAGTAATCATTTACAGGACATTTCTGATGTGTATTATTTTTACAACTCATGCTGCTATTGTTGTATTTTATAGTCTGAAAAATTTCATCTTCCAACACTGAAGCAGTTTTTGCTTTATGCTTATACCTTTAAAATACTGTCTTTGCAATAAATATTAGTTTTTGCAATAGATGGAATAATTTAAGTGTTTTCAACTAAAAAACATGTTTGTAACGAACCATGCATGTTAATTATTATATTCTTTGTTTCACTTTTGAAATAATATTTAAATCGTGCTATAATTGCTCACTGAACTGTAAAGCTGTAGCAGGATTTTTGCAATTTCAGTACTGTGATGACTGAAGTTAGAATTAATATGATAAAAAACATATTAGTTGTTGATAAAACCTGATTAGCAGTTGTACAGCCATAAAGTGTAGTAAAGTTATGAAATTGAAGAGTATAACACATCAGCAAATCATCATTTTTGCTTGTGCATTCATCTAACAGCAGAGGTTTAATACTAGTTACACATTCCAAATTGTCAATAATAATGTCAGTATTCTCGTAATCTGTTGAACTAAATGAAAAAAGAAACAATTTCATTTCTTGAAACTTATATATACAGTTATGAATTTAGAACTCTAATGACATGGACAAACTGTTCAGATGCTTACTACTTTTTTCTTTAAATTTATGCTCAAAATTATGCACCTTGGCATAAAGTCATTTATGTACTACTTCATTGACTTTTTACAATTACTTAAAGGTCGACGAAAATTTATTCAACAGCAAAAACTCTTTCTTCCATCACAAGTCGATATATTTACTTAACATATTTAATCAGAAAAATGTTTCCAGATGATGACAACTCTAATGTTTTCCATCTGTAAACTCACATAAGATGGTAATCAGCAGCAAGTAACCATGCAGAAAATAATATCAACAACCGCATGGAGTATTTTAGAGACTAGAAAATGACCCCTCTACTCTGTTTATTCGTTTATAAATGCGACTAATTTGCAAAAATCTGCATATTCTAAGTATATTTTCGAAATGACCATTCACACATTCTATTTTTGATACGGATATCATTGCACATTTTTACTGGCTGGTTCTAGTTTCTCGATCAACGTCATTAAATAAATGCATTCTTGAAATTTCGAATAACTCGAAAATCCTTCAATGCTTTATCAGCAAATTGTCAATCATTCTTTGAAATAAAATTGTATACAGAAATGCTACACCACTGACAACGAGTCTATCTGTCCAAGAAAACCCCTCAATAAATGGCCAGATATCATGACAATTTCTCCACCAACTCACATATACTTTTTTCATAACAAATGAATATTGCGATATTAATTCTTGTTTTATTCTTTGCTGCAAAACATACATTCAAAATAAAAGAATTTATTTCACAGTTAATGAACCAAAAAAAAGAGATGGGCAATACACTTATATGAAAATGAAAATTACAACATATGTCATCGACATTGCACGATGCTACTTCTAATAATGCATTACTTCCTGGTCAATTACATTTACTTCTAAAGAAAAAAATTGCTATACGGCGAAACTAACTTCGATTACTTCTGCTAGTAACAGTATAAATTAGTGCCTTATACATTACTCAACAAGCAATAAATCAATTCCCTCTAATAAGCTACAACTTACCCAAAATTGACAATATCCAAACACCCCCCC